TGTGTGTGTGTGTGTGTTTATATTCTTATCTCTCTATTTTCATGCTGCTGCTTCTCCTTCTCCTTTTCCTTTCCTCAGCCTCGTTTCTTGGTGAATTTCCTCCGCCGATTTCCTGGGCCTCGGGCGCCTCCCTCGTCTCGGTAAAGATTCATTTGGTCGAATGAGACACGAACGCGTTTCCTTTCCCTCAATAATGGTTCTTTCTTTATCTTTTCACTTATCTCTTTATCCACTTATCTCTTTTATTGTGGTCATGTACCTCTAGTTATCATTATCTTTTTATGTTTATTTTTTTCCCTTGTTTCAGTACAAAATAATTCATTAAATGAAGTACAAGGTTAAAGTGAATTGTCTATGATTGTGTCATTCACTTTTCATTATTATCTAAATAGATAATGAAGTATGAAATTCAACCGAAAATAATCATTACCGCCATACCAAGAACACGGATAATAATAATGATTATGAAAAATGATGCTAATGATATTGATGATAGCAAAAATCATTGGCATTATTCATGTGATGATTATGGTAATTGCAATGATGATAATAATGAAGATTATATTCTTAATTGTGATAATGATACATTAATGATAATAAGAGTAATGATAACAACAACAATGATGATGAATAATGAGGATAATAAAATAATGATTATTATAATGATGTATTAATAATATAATATAATAACAACATCTAGAACCAATCAGAGAGCGGATACCTCCGCCAAGGCAAGAGAGTCACTGATAAAAAATAAAAATATTCACACTAGAAGAATTAAATAAAATAACCAATAATATTGATGATAATAATAATAATAATAATATCAAATAATAATTACAATTCAAGCGCCAAAAAATTTAAGGTGTTCCTATCTCGCAATGCTAATGAATCCTTAGAAAAGTCCCTGGATACGGATCATAATCCGGCTCACCAAAATGTAATGGAATCCAGGACACATCTCTGTTAAATAAAATCACAAAAATCTGTTCATATCGGAGTTTTCCTGCTAACCAACCTCCTAACAAATAAACTAACAAACGCTACCAAAAACTTAACCTTGGAGGTAACAAGAAGCATTCGGAGAGCACACGCCTCCTGCCAAAACAATGTCACTGATGCAATAATCATACTTGAAGACACATTCAAATCACCTTCTTCTAAAGTACACAGGTGGCGTCCGTGAACAGAGCCTCCTTGGCTAACCAACTAGCAAACAAACAAACTAAACAACGATACCAAAAACATAACGTCCTTGGCGGTTATAATTATGGTAATAGGTCATAACTATGATGATAATAATGATGATGATAAAAGTGATGATGATAAAAATGATGCTGATAATGATAATTATTAATATTATTATTATGAATAAGTAATGGTAATGATAATGATATTGACAATAATAATATTGTCAATAACAACAACAATAATAACAATACTGATACTAAAACTAATAATGATATTGATGATAAAAGTAATGATGATCATAATAATAAGAAAATAATAATAATAACAATAAGGATACCACTGATAATATCATTCAAACCAATAATTACAATAATACCACACGAAACAACAGCTCATAAAACGTTTGTTTGTCTCTGAACTTCCAACATTCCTTCCCTAGCACCACCGTGTCTGGCAGTGATATCACCATCCTAATCATACTCCAACACACGTACTCAGCAAAGACAATATGATTAATGGAGATTAATCTTAATGCGAACCTTGGGACCACTTCACTCCAGAGCGCTCCATTCGTCTGTTGTAATAGCTACAATGTAAGGTTTGCTGTATTATTATGTGCTGCTTTCTCCAGGCTATGTTTTGTACAGGGAGTGCTCCTCCTACTAATGTATTGAGTATTGGTGTGATTGAAGTCGCTGTATGATTTCGGATAGATGTCTGGTTCATATTGCAATTTCATGTCAAATATTGTTTCAGGTGTATTGTAACATGTCGCTATATAATTCTCGGCAAGCATCAAGTTGTGTATATATATTATAAATTAATGTATAAATCGCTAAAATTGCTTAAGTTGTCATTTCATTGCTAAAGTCAATGTACTATATGAATTGCCATATTCTGCAAAATATGTATCTACATCACCTACAGGATATAAAGCCTATGTGAGATTTTATAGTAAATATATCGTATTTTCTAGGTTACAATATGTGATACTAAAGGCGTAAACTCTATATCAGGGGATCTCAAGGCCACCAGATTGGCCACAGGGTACTTCTTGCGGGGCCATAGAGTAACATGAAAGTTTTGACGACGAATTAAGCTGAAATTTAACTTTGCTACAGTACCTATTTAATTATCCCTCACATATCAATTGGAAATTTGCATAAAGTTTCATGGTCCTATAGCTGCTGACACCATAACATTATTCATAACTAGTAATAACTGAATCTGAAAAAAGGAAAAACACTGAACGGGATAATGAAAATTATATATTGATCAGGGGCCACGGAATGAAATAGGCTGGGAACGTCTCCTTTATATGGAACATACCATATGACTGAAATGAGAAAATTATGTTAATATAGGAAAAAAATATTAATTGAATCCGATTTCACTCGGAACATATGGTGCGACTTAGAAGTTTATGGTCCAATCAGTAAAGTTTCTCGTAGTAAGAGTGGTAAGGTACTATATATCCACTTTAGACATATTGCTTTTGAAGATTATACTGAACATATATTTTCCTTTAACTCTTGATTATCATTGTTCATACTTATAATGCTAATGCTGCATGTGCTATCTTTATCTATATTCTTTATTGAAGCATTTGCCTGGGTTATTCTCATTTCTCTTTGAAGGAATGAAGTAATAGACGTAGACGATAAAAGGCATAACTAGAAAAGAGCATCAAGGTAAACAAGTTAATTAAGTAGATTGATTTTATCAACAGTTTGAAAATATGATTTCAGAAAAGGTTTTAACATCTTCAAATGCTTACATAAACTACTAACATTAAAGGAGGAGACACAACAAAACAAAATACAAGGAGCATAACTGCAATTCAGTGTATTTCGTCCAATAACAAACCCCGGCGATTCCTTTTCGAAGACCGGTTCATCAGAGACAACGAAGACCCTGCTCGTCCAGAAAAAGAAAGAAAAAAAAGGAAAAAAAGAACAACTCCATGGCAAATTTCACCGAGGGAGACTTAATTGACACTAGGAATTAGGTGAGTGAAGAAAATGCAACAGAGAAAGAGAGGAAAAATACTCTAAGACGTTTCGCAGTGAATGAATGTTATCTTTGCACAGCTGGTAAGGGCCGTGGAGTGGGAGAGGGGGAGGGAGGGTAGGGGGCTGCCAAGAGGTATCATCAACTTTCTTATCAAATGATTATGTTATCGTTATCGTTATCCTTAATAGCTGATATTCCTTAAATTTCTCTGAGAATTTTTTTTTTATTAACCAAAACGTGTACATAATATATATATATATATATATATATATATATATATATATATATATATATATATATATATATACACGTTTTGGTTATTTACAATTAGAGGTCTGTAGGAGTGTTTACCCGTGGACTCGAATGCTATCTCTCGGTGGTGACGTGGAGTCGCGCCAGAGGCAGTTTACCCGCCAGTCGCCATTAAAGTTAGATGTCGGTGGCTCCTGTTCTTGCTCTAAATAAACTTCTACACACACACCTGCGTTTACTATCATCACCTCCAGTCCTACAAAGGCGCAGTGAGTACTGAAGCTATTTCGGAGGTGCCCGCGAGAAACGAGGGCGTGGTATTTCTGCAAGAAACCAGTGAGACAAGGATGGGAGAGCTGACCACCTGCAGGCACCGGCCAAACCGCTGGCGCCTCCTAAAGCATTCCTTAGGCCGTTCTCACCCAGCTCTGACTTCACCCTGACCCCAGCAAGGGTATGGCCAGTAGTTCAGAATCAACGGCCACCAAGGCCTAGTAGTCGACACTGTAAGAAATGTAGTGATCGGGCTGCGGTGTGTGGTTGGTGCGTGGTCGGATTTTTTCGCATACTCGCAAGGCCCTAGTGACAGCAAATTTGCATATGTATTGAAATGTCGGGCCTTGGCAGGTGAATGTAAATTCCAGTGCTCTAAGTGTCGATGCTCTTTAGACAAGTACATGTTAGGCAAGAAAGTGGTAATGGGTCTAAGCGACCGTAGCATGAAGGCGGAAGTGCTAAGGTGCATCCCCTGCCTTGAATCAGTGAATGACATAGTATGTGTGAGAAATCTACTGAAAAAGCAGCAGGTCGAAGTGCCGTGGGTAACGTGGCGAGTGCGTCGGCCGCGAAAAATCCGGGAATCAAGTCCCCATCCCCCTTCTTGAACCCCACACATAATGAAATAACAGCATCAGGTACAGCACGTTGACCTAACGACCAGCAATCTTTACATAACACAGGAGCCAGATGTGGTTGTAAACGCTGCAGAGGATGCGGGGACAGTGACTGTCGAGGAGACTCCCAATGTCGTGCCTTTGGAAATGCAAGGTCCACCACATCACATCCACCTGCATCCAGATGCCCGCCCACATGCAGTTCATATCCCAGCTACAGTGCTACACCACTTCTATGATGAAATGCGACAACTAGATGACATAAAAAGGGAATCATTGAAGCAGTGCCTGCTAGGGAACCTGAATGGTGTGCACAGATGATGGTTGTAACCAAGAAGGATGGAAGACCCTGCAGGACAGTCGATTTCCAGCGGCTCAATTGGGGGAGCATGAGAGAAACACCACACAAGGCCCCCCTTTGACTTCATCACTAGTATGCCAAAGCATACCTTCAAGACTGTAGCTGACGCATACTCTGGGTATCATCAAATTCCACTTAATGAGGAGATTTGCAAATTAGCTACATTTATCACACAATGGGGTCAATTCAGATACTGTAGAATTCCCACCGGGCATTGTGCTGCACAGGATGCAGTATAATCAGCAATGTGCCTAGAAAGATGAAGTGCATCAATGATACGCTGTTGTATGATGGGAATATTGCTAAGGCATTCTGGCACACATAATTTCTGGCTGAAGTGTATGGAGAATGGTGTGACCCTGAGACCAGACAAGTTGCACTTCTGCAAAAGAAGCGTAACGTTCGCAGGGTACGTCCTTGATTGGGAAGAATACCACCTCAGCAAGGAACTCGTCAGGAGCATAATGGAGTTTACAATGCCAACCAAGCCCACTTTAACCAATGTCCGTGCATGGTTTGGTTTGGTCAACCAAGTGGCACCATTCATAGTAGTGGCCCCCTTCAAAGATCCCTTTAGAGAGCTCCTAAAGAAGCCAGTGGCGAAGTTGGTGGACTGGGATGAACAGTTGCAAGCCATATTTTCGTCGGTAAAAGATACCATCGAAGATCTGGCTGCTGTGAGGTTACGATACTATGATGTCTCACGTCCAACAGCCGTATTCACTGACTACAGCTGCCAGGGTGCTGGATTTTATTATGCAGCAGTACTGCCAATACTGCTATGCTACACAGGTGGGTGGAAAGTGGTGTTGTGTGGTAGCAGGCATCTCACAGCTGCAGAAAAAAAACTGCAGCACCCTCGAAGGGGAAGCCCTTACTGTTGCCTGGTGCCTCAAGAAAGCGCGCCTCTTTCTACTGGGTTATAGGAACCTCACATTCATCACCGACCACAAAGCTCTCACCAGAATTTTTGGTGTTAAGGAACTAAAGGACCTCAACAACCCCCGTATTTTGAACCTTCATTCTGTATCAAATACAGAAGGATGGCAAGACGGATTTGCAGCAGATGCATTGTCTCGGTACCCAATGCTGTTTGGCCACCCAGAGGAGTCTGATGAAGCCGATGATGAACTGGTTTGTGCAGCCATGGTAGCAGCTACATCAGAAGCAGTTGAAGGTGATGGAGGACGTGTAGTGGATGTCAAGCAGGTCAAAGAGGAAGCAGCCAAGGACGAGGAATACCAGCTGCTACAAGAATGCGTGTCCAATGAGTGCTGGACTGACTGCGAGAATATGGAGCCGCTTGCTCTACAGCCATATTTCAGGATGCGGCGCCACCTGTCATGCCAGGGAAATATTGTCTTGTACACCAATGACGTGAGACAACCATTTCTGGTCATTCCCATGGCCCTCAGGCATGCTGTGCTCACTAATCTTCATGCAGAACATCAGGGTAGAGACAATGCTCTGCAGAGCATGCCAGTCAGTCTACTGGCCTGGCACTGACACTGAAGTGGAGCAAAAGCGGCGCCAGTGCCAGATATGCAAGACATATTCACCTTCCAACCCAGTAGAGACACTTTTGCCAACACCTTCCCCCCAGTACCTATTTCAGGTCACAACAGACCTGTTCCAGCTCAACGGCCAGATCTACATTGCCTACGCCGATAGATAA